CTCACCGCCCCGAGCAGCCCTTTTCGACAGCGACAGCCGCGCGAGAGAACACTAATAAGACACATGGCACCCAAGGAAGACAAAGACAAAGATGCCTCAAGGTGCACAAGCTCGCCCTGAGGGGCAGCGCCAAGCTTGTTGCCGAATTCGTAAGTCGTCGCACACTCGAAGCTCCCGCTTGTCTTGCAACGCAGAAACGCTGACGATACCTCACCTGCAGTTCCAATACTCGATCCACACCATTCTGTACGATGACCACTGTCTAGTCTCGCGCAGACATCGACCGCTGACCAACGCCAGGTTCCAACGAGGTGTCTACCCCGCCGAAGACTTCTCAGTGTATGTCGGCCCCTCCGTCCCGACCTCGCCGACAACCTGCTGACCCTCACTCCGCCAGCGTCAAGAAATATGGCCTCAACATGCTCGGTCCGTCTGAAGAAACACATAGCCAATGACCCGAACCTTTCCTTTGCTAAGCCACAGCAGTCTCCTCCGACGACCAGGTCCGCGCCTACATCAAGAAGATCATGGGCCAGCTCGACCGCTGGATGAAGTACGGCAAGATCTCCAAGCTCGTCATCGTCATCACGAGCAAGGACACGGGCGAACACGTCGAGCGCTGGCAGTTTGACGTCCAAATCTTCAACCAGCACAAGTCGTCCAAGGCCAAGGCCGCCAAGGCTGACCAGGAGAACGCCGCGCCCGTGTGAGTTACGTCCTGACCCCAGGACGGCAACATGCCGTTCAGCGTCCCTTTTTCTTTTCCTTTTCTTTCCTGAGCTGGAATCATCTGTCGCCCAAAACTGACGTCCCTGCCAGCACCGAAGACGCGCCCGAGAAGACGGAAAAGGAAATCCAGGACGAGATCGCCGCCATCTTCCGCCAGATCACCGCCTCCGTTACCTTCCTGCCCCAGCTCGACGGCGACTGCACCTTCAACGTGCTCGTCTACGCCGACGCCGACAGCGACGTGCCCGTCGAGTGGGGCGACAGCGACGCCAAGGAGATCGAGAACGCCGAGCGCGTCCAGCTGCGCGGCTTCAGCACGAGCAACCACCGCGTCGACACGCTCGTGAGCTACCGCCTGGCCGAGTAGATGGGGGCGCGTGGGGGGGAGCGCCAAGAGCTGTTTTATTTTTTAGTTCTCAACAGACGGACGGGTATGGGCTTGCCAAGTGCCGAAGAATAAGGGAGGATATAGGTTGAAAGGTGCTTGGGTTAGAGGAATCAGGCAGGCAGGCGTACGGCGTTGACACCATTTTGGTTTGACATGTTCATCTCTATCATTCTCCACAAACTGGCACGCGAGGACAGGCCATCATCTCTCGGCGGAGAGGTACCACATGTCTATCACAGCTACCGACGGCGCAGCTCGCCGTGAAATGGATCGAGCCTATGCGCGCAAAAATAAAAAAAAATAGGCCCTCCTGCCACCGTCTCCCTCTGCCCGCGTGTTTGCCATCCGACTTCATCATTCATGCTTGTTGCTTTTTGAACCCCTGCACCGCTGCTCATGCTGCCCCAACCTCTTGTCCCTCCTGCTTTCATGCAGATGCAACCTCAACGCCATGTCAACCATCCACACACACGCACACACACACACGCAGCGCCCCTACACCCTCTTGAAGAAGTAGACGTACGCAAACTTGCGCATCTCCTCGACCTCGCCTGCCTCGACCACCTTTTCGTCGTTGAAGAGCACCCACGACGGGTGATCGCCCGCCTGCCGGATGAAGGCGACGTAATGACTACAACGAGTTAGCATCCTACACGACGTAGACAAAGTAGCAATCCGACTCACCCAGCGTGGATGCTCGTGCCCTTGTGGCACACAATCGACTGCAGCTGGAAATTCGCCGGCACGGCAGCGCTGCCCGCAGGCTCGGCCGGCTTGGCGCTCTCCGCCGCAGGCGCGGCAGCCTCGTCGTCAAAGGTGCCCTGGTCGTCGGGGTGGCTGAACAGCCACTCCACGGCCCGCTCGACGTCTCCGCTCGTCTCGCGCAGCGCCTTCTTGGCCTGGGGCGCGCCGAAGCCCATGGCGCCGAAGCATCTCAATCTTCTCGGGATCCGCCGTGTCGCCGCCGGCGGCGGCGCCCTCCGAGGTCGAGGGGCGCATCGATGTCGGGGTCCTCCATGTGGGCGAAGAGCCACTCCATGCCGAGTCGGCGCTCGCGTTGCCCGTGGCGTGGAGGGCCTTTTCGCAGCGGTTCCGCGGGACCCCATGGCCTCGAGCTGGACGACTGCCT